TGGGCTAAATTTTACCTGGGTCTTAAGTGGGTGTACAATGTAAGGATCCCTCCTTGTACCTCTTGCATGGCCTGTGTAGCTGCGTGATAGAATTGCCTCTCTGCATGCGAGGGAGCACTGGGAGCATTCTGCAAAGTTGGAACAGAGCACTATAGGCTGTGTCTAAATTGCATGATCAAGCCCATATGGTTTTCTAACAAAGTAACTGGATAAAAACTAGACGTTGCTACCTGATAAGTTCTGTTTCCCTTTCGGTTTTGCATGCTATCCCCGACTTAACAGTTCACAATGTAGTTTGCCTACTAATTACAAAGGATCTGAGTTTGCCACCATTGCTCATACTGAGTAGTCACTTACACCACAAGTAGCCCAGATGAAATCAAAGAGGCAACCCATACAGTATGGTACTTCTCCATGTGAATAAGGGTGGCAGAATCAGGCCTAGAGGAAATAAATAAACTAATCCTACACTACAGGATTCTGTAAAATGATATAGTGAAAGTAACAAAGACGTGAATGTACTGTAAAATAAATGAGTTCCAGATTTCCATTATACAGTACTTCTGACATTTCTATTTTAAAATTCCTTGTTTTATAGACATTCAAAAAATAGAAGGTAACAGTAATGAGTCATATTTTTGCTGAATGATTATGTAATCTAGAAGGGTGTGTGTTTTTTCCCATTTGGATATGATACTTTTCCACTTGGATATTATGTCACACCTGTTATAAATTTAAAGGGCCCAATCCTGCAAATATTGAGAGTAGTACTTACTACTTGGAGTAATCTCATTGCAGAATTGGGGCTATAGCTGCAAAATAATTTCAGTTCTGTCTGCTGTCCATGCTCATTACTTGCCAAAACATTCACCTTTTGGCTTGAAAATGTCCATGCTTGATTTCTGTACAAAGGTAATTATTTTTCTTAATGTTTGATCAAAATCTCCTCAGTTGTTTTAGAGTTTGTTGAGGTTGTGTCTATGTGTGCGTGTAATAAAATATACATTTCTCATTTACAAAAATTCTGAACAAATATTTTTAGACATGGCTTACTTTGAACCTTTTCTGCTCCATTTGTTAATTAACAAAAATGACCATTTGAAAGCTCCATACTGAGCATGTGCAATAGAAAATGTTCTTAAATCTACAGGTGTACGTTTAACAATGGAGGCATTGCACATAAAAGAAAAAAAAGAACTCAAAACTCTAGTGTTAGTGTAACATTAAGACTGCAAGGTCAAGAGCTCTAAAGTCAGGAAATTAAAAATTATGTTTTTTCCAGCAACATCAATGTAGCCACACTACATAAAGGTACAATGTTCGTATCACCCTTAACATATTGGTTATTAATGTATATAATAACCTATAAATATTTCTTCAATACATTTGTGAAATATGTACATGTGATTTTTGGACTTTTCTGTAAGTGAGTTAAATGAAAGTTCTGGAATAATATTTATAATTAAACCAGCAATACTTTCATCCAAATAAAGTATTATTTGTAACTTGTGTATATGTGAAAAGAGCCAAATTATCTGCCTCTAATAAACTTCCAACCTATCTAATTACATTCACACTGTCACAATTTGTTTATAATTTGCAAACTCCTGCCTTCAGCAGAATCATTTCAATAGGAAAAAAAGGCTCAATGGGAAATTACAAACAAAAACAGAAATGTAAGACAGCTTGAGCATGTTTGAGCCTTAAAGAAAGAGAGGGAAAGCAAGGAATGAACATGAGAAGAAATATGGAGAATGGATTTGGATCATAATTTGAAAGCAATGATGTCTTGTTACTCTTGCTGTACAAAATAAAATTAGGAATGCATTACAACACTGTTTTGGCATATGAAGGTTACTATTTAATACTACTACCAACAAAAATATTTAATTTCCTATATGTCAAAAAATTCAATCTGAGTCCATTCTAATTGCTAAAACACATACAAGAACTCATTCTCTAATCAGCCATTTAACTCCTTCACTGCTTTTGCTCATGCTTGCTTCCAGCAAACTATCCAATTTTTAATCTCTGTGAATGTTTGCTGTTTGTCAGACATGCTGGCTTGAGTGTGCTTACAGGTTGTGTGTTTGCTATTTACATAGAAGCACCACCAGTTTGTCAGGTGCTTTATAGACAACAGCATGGATCTTATTTACCAACAGAACAGATACATCTCAAGCAGATGGTAGTGCAAGCTTCCCTGTTCCCATTCAGGGGTGTGCGATAAAAGAATTTCCCCTACCTATTCAGTTCTTGGCTTCTCCCAGGAAGGCCAGTTGCAATGCCAATCAATGCATGCTATGGTGTTTTATTACAAGTGGACACCTTTCAAGCATCCACTGAATACCAAATTAATTTTACGCAGGCCACTGAGCAGCCAGTGGTAAGAGCTTTACACTATCACTACTTTCAGCTGGATTTGAGCCAGTGACCCTGAGGTAAAAGGTTTTCTCTCTCCTGTTAGAAATCTCAACTAAAAAATCCCCACCACAAACATTCCATTGAAATAAATGGAGCATTAACATGTTTGTCAGCACCCGAGGTCCTTAGCACAGCAGATAAATGAAGGCATTTAAAAAATGCATTTAGATTCTTTTATAGAAAGCTCAGCTTTCTGAGGGTTGGTGCTCACAGCAGAGTTGTTTGACAGTAATATCATCAGCAACATTAAGCCCCAGAATAAGGGCCAGATCATTTAGTGCAGTGCAGCCACTTTGTACCACGCCACAGGCAGAATCTGACAGTAGAACCAGCATATTTTGCCCCAGGATTATCCTAATTCCAGGGGATCCTCTAGTGGCATAGAGATGGCATAAATGTTCCTATACCATTGCCCTCCTTGCTGCTGTAATGGGTGTAACTAGAGGAAATTGCATGCCTGAAGAGGGATGGCCAGGGTGTCCATATGTTGTGCAGTTTTGGCCTGTCATGCAGAGTAACCCCCTAAAGAGGATCTCCATATCAGATCCGTCTGCTGATCAAAATAGGTGCTTTTGAAAAGATAAGGCCCTACCTATTCCATAAAAGGAATAAAAGGTCTTCATCAAGGAAAATGGTGGATTCCCCACGTCTTGATAGCTTCAAATCAAGAATGGTTGCCATTTTGGAAGATATGCTTTAGTGAAACACAAGTCATTGGGCTCCATATATACGTATCTGGGTGAAATTCTATTACTTGCGTTATATGGAACGTCAGACTAGATGAAATAATGGTCCCTTCTGGCTTTAAAATCTATAAACCTACAAATGAATCGCTGAACTAGTATTTTATGATAGATTGTCTAACACATGGTCTAATGACCTGAACACAGGCTTGCCAGCCAGGAACTCATGAGTTCTAACCCCAGCTTTGCTACTGATTCTCTGTGACCTTGACCACATCCCTTTACTTCTCTGTGCCTCAGTTTCCTTATCTGAATGGAGAGTAATACAACCTACCTGCCTTACAGAGACTTGTGAGAATTAACTAGTTGTTGTTTATAAGATGCCATGTAGTATCCTGATGATTCAGGTCTCTTACCTATAAACATGTTGGGTCAAATGCTCTGCTGATATAAATCCACTGGAGTCAATGGAGTTATGCCAGCCAAGAATGGCAAAATTCACATTGATTTTAATGGGGCCAGGATTTTCACCCATACATTATAAAATGTGGTTTGTCTGAAACATGTTAAGACTCTGTGTCTGAAGTTTCAGAATATAAAAAGTGGAATATATCTGATTAAGGAGATTCTACTAGGGAACTATAACAAAGGAGGAGCAGAACTCAGCTCTTATTTACATAGACATACATCCACTGTAACTCTAGGGCGAATTTAGGCTTTATATTAATCAATGGAGAGAATTTGGCCATTTAATAGCTAAGTGATCTTTTAGTTTACTTACTAAGCTTTATGTATTTCCAACAGTGTAGGTATCTGCCTTTACTAACATGTCTCCCTAATAACTGTGGTTCTTGTCTTTTTAAGACAAAGCAAAATGTTAAACTACCACTCCTGCAATTAACTACCTAATTATAACTGCACATTTCTTTTCTTTGTATTATTATTTAAAACCTCTTTATTTCACTTTTTAAAACAGACAAGTTTATTTGTTTTGCTCTGCACCTTTTTCACACCACTTCAAAATCTGTACATTATGTTTTCAACCAACTCCACCTAAGCACATCTGCTTTATGTCCAGCCACAGCTGCACAAAGATACCACTAATGGAGCCACAGCATCCCATCAGTTTCTTAGCCAAAGTATCAGTTGTAATTGACAAATATTCTTCCTCATCAGTTGTTAGGATTGGGCTTGCCTGCAGGGCAGAAAGAACTTCTAGTTTCAATATGAGTGCCTGACAGGGCGGTATATAGAGCTCGGGTTTCAGGATTACCTAATGAAAGAACATTATGAAATTAGGGATTTACTTTCAGTGGGTGACAGTCGCATATGCAGTGCTCTAGGGAAGTACATGCTGGGGCGGGGAGGCAGTATTGGCATATTTCAGAGTAGCAGCCCTGTTAGTCTGTATTCGCAAAAAGAAAAGGAGGACTTGTGGCACCTTAGAGACTAACCAATTTATTTGAGCATAGGGAGCTGTAGCTCACGAAAGCTTATGCTCAAATAAATTGGTTAGTCTCTAAGGTGCCACAAGTCCTCCTTTTCTTTTTTAGTATTGGCATAGTTTGCCAGAAGCCAGGGTGCTGAAACAAGTTGTATGGGGCGGGGTGCTGAGAGCCTTTGAACTAAACTGTAAACCCTTGGCTGTACATAATGGAAACCACTTCCAGCCAGGGGGTGCAGTAGCACCCCTAGTTCCAGCACTATGGTCAGAAGGGCGGTGCCGCCTCAGCTCCCATTGGGTTGGGGTGCTGAGCCCGCCAGGGTCCGGATTAACAACTGATTAGCGCACTGAAGCGGCCCCCGGCCCGGCTGGGTGCCCTGCCCCGGGGCTGCCAGCAGCGCCTGCCCCACGCCCCGCAGCTGGCCTCCCCGCGCTGGCCGGTGGCTCCTCCCTTCCGGCGGCGGCAGTGGTGGCCTTTCCACTACTTGGCCCGGCTCCCCAGGCCGCAGGTCCCGTCCTCCCCCGCCATCTGTTGCAGGGCACGGCGGCGGCGCCGCAGGATCAGGCCCCTTGGCCGGCGCTGGGGATTGCAGGTAAGCGCAGCCCGCTCCCAGCGCTCCGATCGCAGCCCCGGCGCCGCGGGAGCAGCTGGCTCTGGCCGCCGAGCGTGGTGGGGGAGGGACAACTTCGCAGCGTCTCCTGTCCCCAGGCCCTGCCGGGGGAGCGAGCCCAGGGCGCCCTACAACAGGGGGCGGGGCACCAGAACACTGGGGCTTACAGGGCGCCGGGGGGCACCCCAGCCTGAGGGCCGCTGCGGGGAACAGGTGGGGAGGGGGGTCAGGTGTGAGAACGAATGTGGGGGATGCTTCAGAGTGGGACACCCTGTGTTTAGGGAAGGATACAACAGAGGGGTCAAGAAGGAGACACTGGCTTTGGAGAAGGAGCTGCGGGGGGGGGGGGAGGGGAGGTTGCCATACATTTGGATGGTGCTTCTTTAGCACAGGTCATGGATGTGCTCATCAGCTCACCTGCTAGGACTTTGAGGGGTGTTTTCTTGGGAGGGGGTAGTTACAAATGTCCCCCATGTTTGTGGCCCTTAAAGCAGATGATAACCACCATGAAATGCAGCCACCACTGGGGTGAAGAGCAGCAGCTCACTAGCATTCAGTGGTGGTGGGAGAGCAGGGACATGGTTTTGGCCAAGGGCACCAAGGCAACGTGCTGTCCTTAGGAAGTGTGCCATGTGTCTTTAATGGCCAGGCAAACACTCAGGAGCTCCTTGATTTTTCAGATCTCACCTTCTGTATGGTATATTTAGAAGGATTAAGTACTAAATAAACTGTGGACATCTATGCTCCAGTGAGTCTCCATGTTTCAAATCTGAGGCTCAGACTACTAAACCATTCCTTCAGATTGTTAATTTATTACATGTTTAAATTAGATGTTGGGTTTTAGAGATGGATTTCTTGTGGACTTCGAGTTTTTATTTGGGGTCAAGAGGCTGCATGGAGTAAGGTCTCTACAAACTGGCCCTAGAAAAAAGTACACTTCTCAGATGATTAGAAACATAAGATTTGCCTTACGCTTCAACTAGCAGTTTATTAAATCTGGTAGCTTGCCTTTGGCAGTGAGTAATGGCTGATGCCTCAAAGAATATGAAGAGAAAAATACTTAATGCATCTGGCCAATTGTACACTGCTCTATACTTGGGAAATTTTTCTTTCCTGACCCTGGCAGTAATCAGTTTATGGTGTGAAATGTGAAATTCAATGAGCCCATTTTAACATGTGTAATTAAAAATATTGGTCATAAAATCATCCAGCCCTTTTAAAAAAAAATCCAGTTACAGTAATTGACTTTCTGACCTCCTGTGGGAGGGATACATAAAATCATACATAAAATAGCTTTCCTTGCTTCCTTTATTGTAAATGCTTTTCCTCTGCCTTTTGTCATAGTTTTGGAGGTACATTCACCTATATTATACAAATGTTGCTTTGCAGAGTCTTTCTGGTATTAAGATATGCTTTGTAAACAGGTGCAATTCCCATCCTGCACCAAAGAGGGTGCACACACTTTGGATTAGATCAGAGGTGGCCAGTATGTGGCTCCGGAGCCACATGAGGGTCTTCAGAAGGTAATATGCAGATCCTTGTATAGGCACCAACTCGGGCTGGAGCTACAGGCACCAACTTTCCAGTGTGCCGGAGGGTGCTCACTGCTCAACCCCTGGCTCTGCCACAGGCCCTGCCCCCACTCCACCCCTTCCTGCCCCCTCCCCTGAGTCTGCCATGACCTTCATCCTCCCCCCCAGAGCCTCGTGCATGCCACAAAACAGCTGATCGGAAGCTGATTGGGGGTGGCTGGGAGGCTGCTGATATATTACTGTGGCTCTTTGGAAATGTACATTGGTAAATTCTGGCTCCTTCTCAGGCTCAGGCTGGCCACCCCTGGGTTAGATCCTCGATGAGATGCCCTAACCACTTGGATATAGAGTCATTCTGTCTCACGCTCACCCAATGACTATAATCATTTCCATAGTCAGCTGTTCTCATGTCAGGAATGAGAGCACAGACTCTTAAGAAACAAAGACCCTAGGCTCGATTCTGCTCTTATACCACTGTAAATCAACAGGTTTCAGAGTAGCAGCCGTGTTAGTCTGTATTCGCAATGCATCTGATGAAGTGAGCTGTAGCTCACGAAAGCTTAAGCTCAAATAAATTTGTTAATCTCTAAGGTGCCACAAGTACTCCTTTTTTCTGGTAAATCAACAGTAACTCTATTGAAGTCGTTGGACTTATGCTGGTGTAAAACCAGTGTGTAAGTGAGAGCTGAATCAGGCAGGCCCCTTCCTGCATTTATGAAAATCTTTAGTTACAAAATAGGGGGTGTGTCTATATGGGGACTCAGGAATATTAAGGCAAATCAATAAAGGTGTGAAGTCAATGTGCAGAAACCCCCATGTGGATTTCTTCATTCAGGAGTAAAGTGGCCTTAGTTTGCTGTAACTAAAAGGCTCACTTTAATTTATATATTCAATACATTGTTATAACATAAAATAACAACTTTGTTGTTAATTTTCTTTACAGATAATGAGCGAAATCGTCAGTTGGGGTTAATTGCTGTAGCTCCATTTAAGTCAGTAAAATGTTGCCAATTTAGCTAAGGATTTGGCCCAGAGCTTCTGATTTTCCTCACCCTTATGCTATTGAAAATTGAAAAATTCTGCTGAAATCAGTGGTGTTACACTGAAGTAAGTGAGAGGAGAATCATAGAGGTTTTTGTAAATGTATCTAGGGAAGAATAGTATCACGGGGACTTACTTTGCCAGCTGTGTCTAAGCTGAACTCATTGGTCACAACTGGGATTTGTTTTGAAAATGGACAACATGATATGACTTGAGGAAAACAATAAACAGCCTTTTTATTCATTACACAATAGCTCCAGCCCAGGCAATCACTCCACATTGAATCGATAAGCAGAGGGATTTGGCAACAGGAACTCCTGTATATTTAAAGAAGGAAATGGCTAACTTCACCACAAAGGAAATATCTTTGCCTTTCTCAGCTGTTCCAGAGATCCTTCACAGATTGTTAGCAAATTGAATCGTACTAGAATTGAAGGCAGTTGTTTTATGCTTGTGTAACTCCATTGACTTCAGTAGTTACTCTAGATATACACCAGTGAGGGATCAGAATTAGGCCCTGTAGTGGGGTGCGTGCCCCACTCCTGCAGAAAAGGGGTTAAAAGCAGCCTTGCTAAGCTGATTGGGGAAGCAGCCACAGCTGGGGCCATGCTCAATCAGGGCCCAGCTGGCCCTGAGAAGAGGGTTGTGGGCCAGGAGCTGTGAGGAGTCTCACTCCAGCCCTAGAGGGAGAAGGGCTAGCTGCCTGAGAGGAAGGTACCTGAACTGGAGCAATACTGGGGAATAGGGCAAAGGATCTGGGGAGTCCCAGCCTGGTGAAGGCCCCAGCCTGCTCCTCTCCCCTGGCTCCCAGCCGTGCTGCTGGTGAATGCTGGGGGTGGTGGTTCCCCTTGCCTGGGAGCTAGGGGAGCGGAGCGGGCTGGGGCTGGGTCACTCCACTTCCTGCAGGAAGTGGCCAGGCTCCCCTGTGGAGACCAGGGGCTGGGGCCCCATGGGGGTGGGGCTGGTAGGGCACGAAAATAGCTAGGGATGGCTCTGCTCCTGGGGAGGGGAGACCCAGAGGGTGGGAGTACTACTGGGGCAGAACCCTGAAGTAAAGGGCACCAGGGTCTGGGAGGGACACAGGGGCCTGAGGCAGGTGAGCCACCGGCCTGCAGAGGGCATTCCAGGCTGGAATTGAGCTAATTCCAAAGACGACCAGCAGGAGGTTCTGTGCCAGTGAGTCTTTGACTTTGCTGCAGGCCCAAATATTGGGGAAAGTAGCAATGACACACAGTGTTTGTACACCTTTTAAAAAAGCATGCTGGAATATTTTCATCACTGAAGAAAATTAGTATGATAGTTTCAACAGAATTGTTTTTTACCCAAAACATGCTCTAAGACAGAAGTGCAACATGCTGATGTTAGGTTTTGCTAAAATTTTTGAAACAGTCCTTCCCTTTTGAGAGAGTACTAAGGCTGTTTTAATTGCACCCACAGTAAGAAACTAAAGTGAATGTAGAAATCTCAGCTGGTTTCAAAATGGAATAGGCTTTTGCTGCCTCCTTCAAAGAATGACACTGGACTGCTCTCGTATTTCCTGATTAGGGAAAGACCTATGTGGAGAGAATGACCTTTTATCACTTTCTGAAAGTGTCTAGATTCTGGATATGTATTTTAAATTTAGTGTTTGAGAAAGAGTCAGATTGATGGTATTAGAAACTAAAGTCCTCTGTGCACAGAACAAATATAACATTTCCAGTAGTGCAAGCTTTCCCACTTGTAACGGAGCTCATAGTTACTTCCCGTCCAAGATTCTCACAACAATAGGTTATGTAGGGAAGAGTGTAGTACTATGCATCTGATATAGCAACATTTCTGTGTGAACAAGAGTATTGGCTATTTTTAAAAAACAAATTCCCTTAGCATGAAAGGAAAAACAAACAAACAGCTGTAGTAATGGTTATCTGATCTCACTTCTCAAATCCAATGACAATTCTATTTTTAAATTTGTTTTTGGGTTGTAGATGTCCTCTTTATAACATAAATTATGCCCAATGGATAGTTCCCACAGTCTTTATTATCCCTTTTTCCAGAGCCCATTCATGGCCTGGTTGGTGGCTTCTCTTATTTTGCATGCTGGCCTTCCTTTCCAAACCACTTGAGAGGTTTACTGCCATCTATTTTGGAACTGATTTTGCTTGCCATGCATTTTGAGTGACTCTGTTATCCATCACTGCAAACAGACACCAGTTAAGCAATACACATCAAAGGAGAACATGAAGCTGGTCAGAGGCTCTAGCTGGACAAATTCCAGCTGTAATTTTCCCTGTGGTTAATTAGTCAGTTGTGAAACTCACATCCTTTCAGCATACACACTTGTTTCCATACAGTGGAGCATAAAAACAGTGCAAAGCAGAAGTCTTGACCTGAGACTGATAAGCATTAAATAAATATTTGTAATATATCTATAAACATTAAAAATGAAAATACAGGACAATTGCTTCCTTATTAATGTACCACATTTCTAGTCCTTCTCTCTTTAAAAAGGGCGATGTTTATTTCTATACATTATTCACACAATTATAACTTCTGCACCTAGTAGCTAAAGCATAAGGGCAAGAAGCTTGCTCATGAGTGAAACAGAGACTGAAGGCTTTTTGAGAGCCAAATTCTGATCATGCTTCTCTCTGAAGAACTAGAGGCAAGTGTGGAGCTGAATTGTCTGCAAGATATTCTTCCTACGCAAGCTATGGGGAGATTAAGCTGGGAAAAGGAGCAAGACCAGCTGGCAGAAAGAAAGGGTAGTTTGCCCTGGAAGGAAGTTGGACTCAAGTCTCTCTTAGGTTGGCTGACTGGGGAAGCAGCTAACCCCATCACCCTCTCCAAATGCAGCACTGAGCAAACTGGCCAGCTAAGCGTTGAAGGCCAAAAGAGGTGTCAAATTACTGTGCCGCCTCTGTGGAAACAAGAAGCTCCTGCTCCCTGAGGCAAAATGCTTCCTGACCTTCCCCTGGGGCAGTTTATCTCCACACCTTTACAATGGACTGGGCTTTAAAGGCACCGCCCAGTCTTTAGCCATCCTGAGTTATCCTTTTACAAGAACTTCTTGAAATACAGGATTTTATGTAGGACAGCTGATTGTTTCCCCTCCCCACCCCCGCCCCCCCAAATAACTTGAAAGAACCTTAGAGAATATACAAGGGACTAGAATATCAGCTCGTGTAGCTCCATAGTATTCAGGGAAGGTATGATGATTTACACCAGCTGAGGAACTTTGCCCAAGGTTTGCAATACACTAAAATAGCCATCTTAATCATGTTGCTATTTTCACCTTAGTTTGGCATCCAGATCTTCTAGGATTTCAATATTGCAGAAATCCTAATTGTTTCCCAATATTTGCTGAGTAAATCTGTCCTTTAAAGAGTTTAGAATAAGTATCCAATTATTCCATGTTAAAAACAGATTTAAACATTCAAAGTTCTTCCCAAGCGCACACCCTAAAGGTTTGTCTAAAAAATCCCGGTTATATTTGATAAAGAGATTGCAGGCCATTTTGGTGGTGATAATATTTTTATAGTTAGTAGGAATTGGGATTAATGTTTTGAAAAAAGTGATGAATAAACGCATATAGCAGAAATGATCATTCTGGATATGAACCATTGCTTTAGAAGAGAGAGAGATACCTACAAAGTGTAAATGTGTGCATGTGTGTATAGTTTAGCTGTAATTATGCCTTGCTTGTATGTATTGTTATACAGACTTATTAAAAATGGAGCAAGGTTGATAGACAATAAATGCATCATTGGGATCCTTGAATTAATATGTCCAGAGGGGAAAAAGTAGAAATATTTTATTTTTTCATTCAGTTAAACTAAATAGAAACCAGAAGAGGCGCGAGGATCCCATACTACACAGGTCTTGCTCATAAACAGTGGGGAAAAATGTAAAACCCTGGACCAAATCCTGCAGTCCTTACTAAGGCAGAACACCTATTGAATCCGTGGGAATGTCTCCTGTGTAAAGACTAAGGGTGAAGCATTAGCCCCATTGAAATCAATGCCAGTTTGCCATTGACTTTAATGGGGGCAGGATTCTGAGCTCGGATATCAAGATTTGCCCACTGGCATCAAAAAAACAAAAAAACGGGACAAACCAGAAACAAACACAAAAGCTTTGAAGTGGTGCGAAGTTTTATTTAAAAAAAACTTGGGATTGATTTATTAATTTGGGAAGAGGAGTAATCATATTTCTGAATAAGGTAAATATTCAGTCACAGATTCTGTTCTTAGTTTAATATTTGATGCATCCTGTGTCCACAGATTTCCCTTGCAGGGGGATTGTTCAATCTTCTAACTGATATCATCATTAACTATATAAGTTGAGATAGGATACGGTACATTAAAGCCTACATTTTCAAAAGCAACTAGTGATTTTGAGTACCTCAAGTTTTGGGTGCCCATTTTGAGATCCTGATTTTCAGAAAGTTTTCAGCTCACTGAAAATCAGGCCCCTATAAGGTATATCAAGTTGAGGAGAAGTTGAGGCACCACCCAAATTCACTAGTCGCCATGGAAAATTTAGGCCTAAATATACATTTGTCTTTGGGCAAAACTTCTACACTATGGGGAACATGTATTCTCAGGAGTTCAGGGAGAAGGAAGAAAGAGAAAGGGAAATTAGCTTTTTTTTTTTGTACATTATCTTTTTATCTCTATTCTTTCTATAATTAATTTTGTTCTTATTTATAGTACTCGGAGGAACTTGCACTGGTAAAAAGGCATTCTTGCTCTGACAATTTTGTAATAGTCAAAATGTGGAATGCTGTGGCTAAAAACCTATTAAGGACTAAAGTCCACCAAGACTGTTCACGCACTCTGCTGCTAGTGCAAAAGGGCAGGAGTATTCTTACAAGACCGCCTTCCTCTAGGAATCATTGGCAGCATACAGCTGGAGCAGTTCAGCCTTTCAGCATGAGTACAAGTATCCAGAAGGTGGAAGCTTTGGACGTGAATAATTTTGTCCGTATTCAGTGGGAAGATGGGAGTAAGAGCCTTTACCCTGCTGTATGGCTAAGAGACAACTGCCAGTGCCCTGACTGCTTCCTGCATTCTGCTAAAGCACGCAAACTGCTTTTGGAAGACCTGGATGTTAACATTGGGGTGAAGGAGGTCACTTTGACAGATAGACAAAAGGTATTTTTTAAAAGAAATTTCGCTTTCATGTGTACATTTGTATAATAATTCTTGCCAATCCATTCATCAGCAACCTGAATAGAGAGAATAGTACTGCAGCTGGAATATCAGAATATGCCATAATCATGGATCCGCAAATCATATTGTGTATTTGCAGGATTTCTAGGTATAACTGTCATTTGAGGAATCCAAATCCTTTCATTTTATGTCATTCTTACGGTAAAATCCACTTCAAAAATGTTAAGCATAAGGTATAGGAACCCCCAAATGTTCTTATTTAGTTTTTTCTTAATTAACTTTAAATAAGATAAAACATTTTTACCATAGCCTTCACTTCTTAATCTCTAGGAGCTGGTGTGAGGATAAAATTGCAGACTCTTAATACCTTAGTCTTTCACTCCCTCAGACTTCTTTCCCTCTGTGTGTCTAACTCCTTTATGTCCTTTAGTATGACTCCCCCACAAAGAAAGTAACTGTCTCATACCTGGTACGCTGTCTTTCTTCCTGCAGGAGACTTCTGTTTGTGATGTCACAGTAAAGCATGGAGTCCTTAAAGGCCAGAGCAGGGAAATTCTTTACTTGATTTAATTAATAGTTTCTAATTTGTTTTATAAAAGAGCATTTTTAAATTTATTTTACCCGACATTTACAAATATATAAAGTAAAATTTGAGGAGAGAACCCTCCTTTGAGTCAGATCTGCCCTCAGTCGCCACTGTGGAATCTCAGTGAAATCATTGAGATTGCATGGATGTAACTAAGGGCGGGACTTGACCCTTTATATTCTTGCCAGCAAATAGTAAATGTTATAAAACAGATATGCAAACTCGATTCCCTTTATTTATTTTATTATTAATAATGTCCCTTAGCACTGGTATCTTCAACATGCTTGGGCAACAAAATGGCAAATGAAATTAATGAGGATAAATGCAAAGTAATGCACACTGGAAAAAATAACCCCAACTATACATACAATATGATGGGGGCTAATTTAGCTACAACTAATCAGGAGAAAGATCTTGAAGTCATTGTGGATAGTTCTCTGAAGACGTCCACGCAGTGTGCAGCGGCAGTCAAAAAAGCACACGGGATGTTAGGAATCATTAAAAAAGGGATAAGAGAATAAGACGGAGAATATCTTATTGCCCTTATATAAATCCATGGTACGCCCACATCTTGAATACTGCGTACAGATATGGTCCCCTCATCTCAAAAAAGATATACTAGTATTAGAAAAGGTTCAGAAAAGGGCAATTAAAATTATTAGGGGTTTGGAACGGATCCCATATGAGGAGAGATTAAAGAGGCTAGGACTTTTCAGCTTGGAAAAGGGGGGATATGATAGAGGTATATAAAATCATGAGTGGTGTGGAGAAAGTGAATAAGGAAAAGTTATTTACTTCTTCCCATAATATAAGAACTAGGGGCCACCAAATTAAATTAATGGGTAGCAGGTTTAAAACAAAGGAAATTCGTCTTCACTCAGCGCACAGTCAACCTGTGGAACTCCTTGCCTGAGGAGGTTGTGAAGGCTAGGATTATAACAGGGTTTAAAAGAGAACTGGATAAATTTGTGGAGGTTAAGTCCATTAATGGCTATTAGCCAGGATGGGTAAGGAATGGTGTCCCTAGCCTTTGTTTGTCAGAGGGTGGACATGGATGGCAGGAGAGAGATCACTAGCTCATTACCTGCTAGGTTCACTCCCTCTGGGGCACCTGGCATTGGCCATGGTCGGTAGACAGGATACTGAGCTGGATGGACTTTTGGTCTGACCCAGTATGGCCGTTCTTATGCTTTACAAACGTGGGAGGGAAATAAGGGTTATTATCCCCATTTTGCAGTTGAGGAAGCTCAGATGCAGAGTTGACATGATTTGCTCAAGGCTACATAGTGAGTGGGTGGCAGAGCCAGGATTAATACTCAGGAGTTCCTGGCTTCCAGTCCCGTGCTCTGTCCATTAGCACACATTGTTTCTCTGAATTGTCTGAATACAAGGTAAACGCCTACTTTACCCGTACATATGAATTATAATTATTAATTAAACTGTAAGCTCTTTAGAGAAGAGCACCTAGCACAGGGGGACACTAATTCATAACTAACAGAAATAGATTTTAAAGGTATTCCCATCCACTCCTCTTGTGTCTTTCTCCTTCAGTCCTTCCAAGTGGTCATCCCCTTCACTCCCAAACTATTGTCACTTCCTCCACCCTTTTCCTCCTTGTCACTCCCTGAAATGAAGTGCTGCCCTTCACAATCTATTCATGTCCTGCTTTATTTTACTGCTGGGACCCATACAGAACATCCCACTGCTAAGTGCAGCATGGATAAAGAATGAAAGCATCCAGCACCAGTCAGGAAGCCGGGTCCCTTCTTCATTGTGAAACTGACCTCTTGTATAAAGGAGGGAATGTAGGTTATGCTTAAATGGACTTTTGAAAGTGTTTGCAGTTATATAAATAACAAGAGGTTGCCCACAAGAGACATTTTATTGCAAAGTAGCAAGTAATATATTTCAATTATATTTCTAGTAAGGAGATTGAATTTTCCTGGTCCCTTTGGTAGCTGTTTCAGGTAGGCAGATTTAATTGAATCTCTCATTGTTAATTGTCTTTTTTTATTTTATGATATAAGGTGTATATTACATGGCCAGACAAACACACCAGTGAATTTGAGGCTGAATGGCTGAAGAAAAGGTGCTTTTCTGAACAAGCAAGAGCAGAAATGCAAGAAGAATTATTTTTACCAGGTAAAAAGAAAAGGAGTACTTGTGGCACCTTAGAGACTAACAAATTTATTTGAGCATAAGCTTTCGTGAGCTACAGCTCACTTCATTGGATTCACCAGGTAGAGACTAAAATCTAATCTGTTATGCATTTCTTAAAACTATATAGACTATCACATATCTATAGGTCCACAGGACAGCATATATTTATATAATATAGCCCTTGTTTTGTTTTATGAAGTTTTGGACAGAATTTTAAAGGCATTGTAGCTGAAATGAAAAGGGCTCATTTATTTTTCTTGTCTCTATGTTAATAAGTAGCTAAGTGACACACGAAGGATCCTTTGCTAAAGTTTTTCGAGTTTCCTTTACATCATGATATCTAGAGTTTTATTGTCATTCTCCAATAATGTGGTGGTTATGTTCTCTAGAAAATGAATTTCCCTGGCTGGTATGATGTAGTTGGAGATTGGTCCTGCTCTGAGCAGGGGGTTGGACTAGATGACCTCCTGAGGTCCCTTCCAACCCTGATATTCTGTGATTCTATGAATTAACTTGTACACCATGCTATATAATGCTGTTCACATTTCTGTTGACATAATATGATATTGGTGCACAAACAGGAAGCACTGTTAAAAAGCTGGCTCTTACTCTTGAGTGACCCACCATCACCAACCCCAGACCACTGGGTTTGCTGCAGTGCGTGGATGCTTATAGCTTTAGCCCCTCTCTCCTTGCTTGCTGTAGTACTGTGAGCAGGTAAAGTACTGAAGCTGACAAAATTTCTGCTCTCATCCTTGACAGGGTCTCTTTATGTCAGTTCTGCTCTGCAAGAAAAGTGATTCATTCTGGATTAAGAGTTATGATTTTATCTGTTAAAACAGGAATGTAGTTTTTATGAAAAGTGACTGGAGACGGGCTGCAAAAATCCGATCTGAAATATGCATTTCCCAAAAGTTCAGCAGTGTACAGGTTAGGGGTTTGGATTGGGCTCATTTCTAAGCACAACAAAAGGACAATTGCTGGAAGTTTGCAAATAATCATGGGGATGTGGGGGGGGGGGAGGCACAGCAGGAGGTAGTTACTTTTGTTTCATTTTTAACTTTATTTTAGGGAGCTACAGGTGAAAAAAGAAAATTCCAAGACACATGGGGCTTGAAACTCTCCTGTGTCTGGGCTATGCTCAGTACGGAAGGGGAATGAGTATCAGGGAACCAGTTACAGCTTCCTGATTTGTAGCTGGCATGAGTTAGAACATCCTAACAGAGTTCTGTTCCCTCCCTTCAACCTTCCCTGCCCCTGCCATGGCTCCTATAATGGGGTCAGTTGGAGCATCTGATGCAGGAGCCAGCTGTACACCAGCTGACAGCTTTCCCCTTCACTCACCCCCACCCCCAACAATGGGACTCTCAGCTGGCCCGGTATGGCCAGAATCCAGCTCATTGTACCTCCTGAATGGCACAAGGCATCTGGTTTAGAATTGAGATCCTGGCACCTGATGCAAAGTTGCACAGAAACAACCAGTCAATACAGGTAAGGGTATTGTTTGCAATCATATAACTAAAATTGTTGCAAGTAGGTGGCAGAGTCTGGGAAGACAAAATACTTCATTTGGTTCAGTGGTTCTCGGCCTGCGGGCTATGGGCCGTTTGCGGCCCAATCAGCACACAGCTGCAGCCCATGTGACATCCTTAGGCCATACACGTAGTATATAGTGTGGATGCAATCCACTTAACACAAAGAAAGCTGCGCATGCGGCCCACAATGGTAAATAGGTTGAGAACCACAGATTGGATTAGTAAATTTTTGCCATGTGGCAGAATAATCTGTGGTTGTCTGCCTGTTTGTCTGTTCAATAGTATGGGTTTTATTCATAATAAGACAAACATACATTCTGGGCCAGATTCACCTCCAGTAGCTCCAGGGAAGTTTTCAAATTATAGTTTCTTGCTCAGAAATCTCAGGCATACTGTAATATTGCACCTTGGCATGGTCTGAGTTTTTGTTGGCTTCATTTTTAATTACCAGTTCAAAGGTATACACTTCTAATCTTGGGGCATTTTGTGAAGTCTTCAAATGATATCAGGCCCAAACTCTCAGTCTCATGTTTAAATCAATTAAAACCCTGAATAATTCCATATATTAACTACTCAGGAGAGATTGAATATAATTTATGCTCATGCTTAGCAGTTTCTTATCTTTCTCAAAATCCCTTGTTCTTTTTTTACAGTATCTGACACTAGCTCAAATAGCCTTGAAACATCTGTTCCCCTGAGAGAGATGCTTCCCTGGGTTCCCCGTTACTGCCTGATTCAAAGCCTATTGAAGTTAATGGGAGTCTTTCCATTCACTTAATGGAACTTTGGATCAGGCCGTTGAAACTTTCAGAATGGGAACATTTATTGTATAGAGGCAGAAAGTTAGTCTCCTGTCTTTCCGCAGAAAACAACTCTAGTTTCTCTTCTCCTTTTTTCTGGGGAGGGTTGGCGGAAGGTGGCTTGAGTTTCTCCCTGGGATCCACATGCAGAAAGGACCCATATTTGTTGAGTGTACCTGTCATATGCGGAAGTGTTGGCAGCCATCTCTGTGGCACTTTTTCCCCTGCAAAGGGAAGGTGCTGAGCTGGCTGAGTTGTGGGTAAGGATTGGGCAGTCAGGCTTTAATAACTAAGGAAGGGGATACTTTGTTGTTTGGTCAATAGTTTTCAGAAACTTGGTGTTCCATGATAAAGATGAGACAACTGTTTATATATATTGTAATACAGCAATGATATTGATAATTGAGCTGGCTTTATGTTCTTGTGTGTCTTTCTGCTCTTCACCGTGTTCCAGGAAAAGAAATGGTTGGATACAGTGAACAGCTTCTTTTAATTTTCCTCAGATTTCATTTACAAATGGAAGCTTTCATTATGTAAATTGAGTGTTTGCTTTCTAGACCCACATGGCCTGATTCTCCTTTACACTGGTATAAATAAGGAGTAATTCTCTTGAAGTCATTTACTCTGGTGCAAAACGCATGTAAATTAAGATGAGAATCGGGTCCCAGTGGTATGATGTTACCAGTCTATCATACCAAGCCAGTACTCTTTCTGAACAATTGTAATAGCTAGTCTAATCCCTAACCATCATGCCTTAGGTTAGAGGTTAACCTCTACTGTTGATATTGTCACAGTGGTGGCATTTCTTTTACAAGTAGTTATTTGTTTTTGCTATTGGGTAATTTCGCCTTTTTATGATAGCTGTTGGTAAAGAACAACATTTCTGGTTTCAAAAAGTAGGTGTCAAAAGTATGTCAAAATCATAGAGAGGAGGAACAAACACATCTGATTTATTGAATGCTCCCTGTCCCCATGTGTGTACCAGTATCTGAGGGTCCTGGCCCCAGGTGAGCCAGGCACTAGAGGGTTTTTGCCTTTCTGGGTGTGCTTGAGTACCACTTCCTAATGCTTTCATGTGATCTAAGGTGTCACTGTCCCCTGGCGGTGTCTGAGACCCACTCCCTGCCCCGCCTTGGGTGTGCTGGGATTTGGCGGCCTTTGACTATCTATGAGGGTCTGTCCGCGGCGGCGAGTTGTATGGGCCCATGGTGCCTGGGCTCCAGCAAATTCAGGGCCCTGAAGGCCCAGCTCCACCAACGTTCGGGTCCGGGTCTCTCCCCGGCCCCTCCTGCTGCCCTGTTCACCTCCCCAAGAGTGTCTCTTGGCCCCTCTAGTGCCACATTACATACAAATGTTAAATAATATTAAGTGATATTTGTGACGGTGGACACCTGTCCTTCAGAAACAGGCCTGAGACCATTTCCCACCAACCGCCAAAATGCCATCAGATGGTAACTTCCGGTTACTCCTGATGTAGGCTGACTTTGGGTTTCTTGTACCTTCAGCTGAAACAGCTGGTTCCTGGCAGACAGGATATTGGACTAGAAGACAACTGATCATTTGAGTTTGGTAATTCCTCAATTCCAGTGAACTGACAACCTAGCAAAGGCTGGCTCTCCAGTTCATTAATAAGCGCATGAGCCATGCAGTCCTCCAGGTTTTTTTTTAAGCACATAAGTCTGTTTTGTATCAGCCATACCATAATTGGGTTTGAAAGTCATGAATGAGCTCCACTGGACTTGCATTTCATTCCTTGTGAAATGCTCAGCTATTAAGTTTTCCTGTAAAGGTTTTGAAAAATAAACAGTTTTCAATGGAGCGATTTCAGCTCTGCCATGAAAGTGAGGATGAAGACTGCCAAACTGCTGATGGTTCATCTTTAATGTTTCTTAACTGCTCAGCTTTTTATAACTTGTATCCTTGAATCCTATCCTATGGTAGCAAAATGGAAATTATATTGACTATACTTAAAGAAAGAAAGAATATGCAATGCTGACATGATAGAATAATGAAAAATGTGAGTGGGACTGGGTACCACCAGGAAACACTGGCAAATAACACAATCCTTGTTGAGAACAGCTCTTTAATAGATTCTCAAGCTGTAGATTTTCTTGGATAAAAGAAAAATAATGTTCCCTGTTGTTCCGCATATGGGAAAATAATATGTTTTGTGTGACGTAGAATTTTACAATACATTTTATTATGCAGTCATTTAAATAATTTAGATGGAAGAATTCAAGTATTTTAAAAGCACAGCTTCTTTTCAATTTTATAATTTGGAAAATATACTTAAATCTAGATACCCCCAACCCCTACAATCCCTTCCAAAATTATAAGAGTTTGTAGAGCAACTAATTGCACTAAATGTGAAGGTATGGTCCTGTATTGCCCCTGGCTTTGGGAGCTGAGGCGGAAATATCTGCAAAGATACCTTTGCATTTCTTCCCCTGTTGTTTGTCTCCCCGCTCCCCTGCCCCCATTGGAACCACTCTACTTGCAATTCCTCTGGCTCTGGTGGTTCCTGGGACTTCAGAAGTAGCTCCAAGGGGCAGGAAAAGGGAGTTCTGCTGAAAAGATAGTACAGCCAGGTTGTAGTTTCAGCTCCGTGGGGCAAAAGAGGTGGAATGATGTGTGTGTTCATCCCAGT